GATCAATTTAAGTTTTAAATTATACTTTTAATTATTTAAAATAGAACGTCGGTAGAGCTAGGAAAGAAAAAAAACTCTTTGTGTCAAACAGTAATTACATCTGACTTTTCCACCAAAAACTCTAAGTGCTCTAGTACAGCATTATAACAACTTAAAAGTAGAAGGTTCTTTCTTTTGTATAGTTCAGATTGTGCACTGAACTAGATAGCTTTGTTAGTGGGGCACACGGCTCTTCGTTCCTGGGACCCCGCTTGAACTCTTTACTTAAATGAATACACTGGTTTTGCTCAGTCATTAGTAGGCAGTTACTCATATCAAAATGCACTGCATTTAATTCAGGACAGTTGGCAGCCTCTGCACAAGTGAGACTCCAAAATGAGCCAGCATATAAAGGAGGGGAATGTCTTCAGCTTAGAGCTGGGGTTACCTCTAGGGCAAGGAGGGGATTTTCTCACTCCAGCTGTCTGCATCGGAACTGGTATTCAGTTCCTGCTACTCTGAGACCTGCAATCTTGTTGAGGGAAGGAGAAAAAAGTGGAAAAAAATAAACAACCACTCAAACGCTCACTAGCAGAACAGAAAATTTTAAATAACACACACACACACACACAAAAATTTGAAATATACCCGCTCGTGCATTGATCACCTCCATTTCAGATGCGATGCCAAACAGAGAGGATGAATGAGGGTTCAGCTCAGTTAGGGAGAGTGCAAAAATCAACAGCACTAAAGCTACTTTTCAGGTTAGCATAATCTTCTGTCTGCAAACACTGTCTGGTTTATCTGATTATTTTTTTTTTTATTGGACAGCTGTGATCTTCTCCTTTCAAAACCTTGTCACTGCCGTTCAGCAGAAATGTAAGTGATATGATTAAGGAACATGGCATCTTGTATAATCGGTCGTAATCATTATCTAGGGGTTTCAGTAACATGACACACGCACAGCAACAGCAGCATCTGCTATGGACTGACAGATATCTCAAGCTCAGGATGATGGAAGCACATTCAGGGATTTGTAAACTTGTCTTGGCTAATGCCACTACCCTGATGTGAACCTGTTGTTGGCTATGCTGCTTAAAGGCCAAAGATTAAAAGTGTTTTATGAAGTTCATCCTATCTCCCATGAACCTTCATCTCTGGCCGATGTGGGATGCGTTACCTTGGCAGACCTTTCCCACTTTCACTGATAGGGTGGTACTTTTGGAAGTAAAGAGCAGAACTCTATTTTTGTAGCGTTTCTTCACCGCCCATCAGGTTGGTGTTTTACAAACACTCAATGCTGGATTAACTGTGTTTCCTGAGAAGTCAACAAAGTTGAATTGCATAGTATATACTCTGTAAGTTATAAACATGAGGGGATGGACTCCCCAGGGACACATGACTGTAACTTGAGTGAGCACTGCTGTGTCTTTGCTGCTTGCAAGAAGCTCTGTACCCTACGTAGAAGCTGAAGATCACTAGCCATGGCCATATTCTGGATGCTTCCTAAGGGAGATCTGATCTCTGTTTCTTCCTGAGCCTGTAGAGACTAAAATCCAATCTCTCACTTTCTGCATATGTTCCCCAACCACTGTGCTATTAAAGGTCTGGGAGAACTAGAGATGAGAGATGTTTTCCATGCCTCCTTGTTATAACTGAGTCACTGGAAGGCAAATGGCAGTGAGCCAGGAGGAGAACAAGCAAATGAGAATCATGCCAGAAATGGGATACATGCTTTTTTCTTCTTCTTCTTCTTTTTTTTTTTTTAAATGTTTTTTGATTTGACAAAATTTAGAACAGCTGCAGACTGCATTAATTTACTCTGAGGTCTGAGAGATTGCCAAGGCCATGGTTAGGGACATCACTTTTGCACACCAACTGTGGAAATTCATCATTCCTCCTTGTCAGCATCAGAGGATTAAGATTTGGGCACTGTTCCTTTATTGTGACTCCAACGTTTTGGTCACTTGTAGACAGGATCTTGTACTCAGCCTGCTCCATTCAACTTTTTGGAAGCATACTACAGCTGTATTTCTGGTACAGTTACAAGCTACCAGAGAGTGGGCAGCATGAAGTCAGGTTTTTTCTGCTATGAAGCAAAACCCATTTTTATGCAAACATGGCAGTTTATAAAGATAAGGTCCATCTAGACAGGCTACTGTAACAGTATCATTTATTTGCACCTGCCGTATATCTCAGTTCCAGGAGTCTCAGTATGCAACATTCCCATTTTACAGATCCTGAGTAACATTTAGGATTATTCACATGTATCCAACAATTATGAATAATGAATATATTGGGCAATCTTTAAACAGGTTAAATTCTTTGAAGTCATTTCATAAACATCAGCATATTATATGTAATATATATTATATATCCATTCTACCTCAGAGCAGAACTACAGATCATGTTTCATCAAACCATGTTATCTAGGAATAACACAGCTGATTGTTTCAAAAGTATTTATTCCCACCTTACTTCTTTAAAGCTTTACGGATAAGGATTTTTCATAAGATTTTAGAACATTATGATTCCAATTTCCTTACTCTCACCACGTAGGACTTTATTCCACAGATTATCTCCTTAGGTCAGCTTTTTTTGATTATGGGAATGGGCTATGCTGATTTCTACCATTTGAGAATCTGGACCATGGAGTTCAAGAGGATGACTAATAGAGTCAGGAGCTCATCAAGTTCAGTGATGGCATCAGAATCTGATTCTGCTAGTGTTCAGGGACAAAGGATTGATAACTGATGAAAGGAGAGGCAATTAGTTAACCACATTTGTGAAGGAGACAAATACAGAATGCAAATGCACTTGCCTCTTTAAGGCTTCCTCTGCTATTGCCTCATGGAACAAAAAAAGAAAAAAATCATCTTCCTTTATTCTCAAATACAAACATATTGAATGATTATTGTCTGAGTGCCAGGATGTAGGTATCAAAATTGACTCTTCCTTCTTGCTTTCTTGCAGGTCAAGGTTTGAAAGAAAAATATGTGTATAGATAAAACAGCCACAGATCAGATGTAAAAATCCACCTGTTCCATTTATTAATGCAGTTCTGCATGTGAAAGTACAGTGTCAGGAATTAGGTAGCATATGAAAGTACAGCTAGATAAATTTAAACAGAATTTTGAATCAAGATACATTTGGGAATACAAACCAGGGTGAGATTAAACATAGTGTAATCAAAGGTAGAGAAAGGAATTTGACACAACGTGGCAATGATTGGAATTTCAGCTCTTAAAAATTGCATTTTTACTGAAGACTTTGCCACAGGTGAAGTTACAATAGGTGCTCCCACCCTCAGCAGAGGTATAAGCAGGTGCTCCTGCCTTCTCTTTGCCTCTGAGACAAACACCTGCTAATATTAGCTACCTGCTCCCCGTCACCACCAGAAGGAGCTTAGCAGATATTTCATTGGATTGTACAATTATGTGAAGTCTTCTCTAATCTTATTTGGCACATTACCCATTGGATTTATGGAAATCCTCAATGAACCCTAACCCGGAGGTGTAGCAGTCACATAAACTCTGCGTGTGAGTGTGTGTGTGTCACAGTGGTCACGAGGACTGCCCTTGACTTTACCTGCTGCTGGAGTTTTTTGGCTGGGCCGACAAGTAACCCTTAAATCCAAAGGGAATGAAGTATGAAAATCAGTCTTCCAAACACACGGTGCTTTGGCTGATTAGCATGGAGAAAAAGGAATTAATAATGAGGAGGGAAAAAAAGATAGCCAGAAACTACAAACACCAGGGAGCCCATTTCAGTGTTACTTGAAAATAAAGCAACAATGGCAAGAGTAGTCATCTCATTAAATAATAATTTGTTATTTCCCTTTAATGCTGCACATGTTCTTTAATGGCTGTGACTTCTTAAGACAGTTTGACTACAATTCCCACATATTTATCAATAGGAAACTTGTCTAACTTTTAATGAGTCCTTGAACTGACCACCTGTGAACAAGAGGTATCATAAACCTTGTCTCTTCAAATATGAAAAATAATTTGAGCATAAGTTTTCCTTGATGTGGCTAATCTAGAGTGGGTTGTGAAACTGCTCAGGTCAAGCCATTCCCCCTAAAAAATTAAGACATGCCTACCCCTTCTGTCCAATGGCAAGGAGTGGAAGCTGCTATCATTTCACACATTTGGAAAATTGCAGGTAATTAAAGAAGGAAAGGAAAGAAACCCACGTCTGTTTGCTGAAGTGTGTTTTTTTCATTAGAGAGGTGTATTGATATATTTCTTTGTGGCCAGAGTTGAGCCATCAGGAGAAATCTCAAGTTGTTGAAACCAGCCTGATGGTCTTTCATGTCTTCATGTCTTGTGACAAGAGAAGAGGATGTACTCTGAGTTGGATTCTGCACTCAAGGGAATTGCATTTTCATATGAAATTAAATTCATATAACTTACTGCACAATTTCAGGGGAAAAATTATGTGAAGAGTGTCATTTCATTTCAGCTGAACCAGCTTGTAAGTTTTACCAGCTCTGTCTACAGTGCTGATGGCTGGTTATAAAATGGAATCGTACTTCATTTTATTCTTATTTATGTATCATCTGTCAGATTTTCCTGTTTCACTTTGACTTCACTGTTCTGATTAAATGTTAATATTTTGGTTTTAAATTACATATCCTCTGGCATATGATACCACATGCAGAGATTTCTTTTCCTTTAGCACTTTAATGAGATGCCCTATCAACATATCTGCATAAAAATTTTCAAAAATTGTGAAAGAAAAATGTTACATTTTCAACCAGGAATTTTCAAATATATTGAATTAAAAGGATATTCTGTTCTAAACCACAAAATATTTAAATGATGCTTTCAATAAAGTTTTGTTTCAGCATTTGTTGTAAAATGGTGATGTTGATGCCTTCAGAGGTAAACATTTTCAAGGCACCCCATTTTTAAAGGATTTGAAATTCTGCATTTTCATCCAAAAGCAGGAAGAAACAAAATGTCAAAAACTCAATGAAGTTTAAAATCCAGGTTTACACACAGTTTCTTAATTTTTAGTCCACAGGTGTAAAACATCCTGTGGGAGCAAAATGCATGTAGTGGAACTGCAGTGCCATTTTTGGGAAGACTGTAGATATGTTGAATGCATTTCCCAGCATCTGGTCTGCAAGGGAGAATGGTGAAATCAGAAAAAGAGAGAAGTAAACCCACCACAAATACACAAAGTGTTTTTACAGAAATACTGGTGTGACCAAGGTGACTCCATCCATTCTCTCTGATGGTAATCACATCACAGGTAACACGATGTTTTACTGCTTTTGGCAGCATTGCAGAGATAACCTCTCCATGACGAACAGATTTTCAGCTGTGTGCTGGCCTGAACCTGAATTTTCTTTCATGTTAAAACATAAATATCTGAGCATTCCTCCTATTTTCTTCTTGCATAAATAAACTGTCTACAGGCAGTGGGTAGAGGTACTTGTTGTTGCGTTTCTGTTGTGACAATGTCAAAAAAAAAGTCAGGCTCGGTGTTCTCTGAAGGGTCATCTTTGTCGTACAGAGAATGTAATTGCACCCTTTTAAAGTATCATCCTGGTGCCACAGAACATTGCGTGGAGCTATTGAGTGATTTAATGCACCAATAATACAGTCTTTTTGTTTTCCCACATTTCTAATGGCAATAGATGAAAACTTGGGACTGCACGGCATTGGTCTCAAATGAGCTTTGTCCCTCATTTTTCCATTTGCCAGATTAGGATGAACACAGAGCGAGGAGGAGCTGCCTTACATTTTCCACTCCTCACCTTAAACATAATCTCCCAGCCTAAGTGCTGAATCACATCTCCCAGGTATCTCCTGCTCCAATTGTGCCTTCACTTGTGTTGCTTTTATTTACCGTGTCAGCTCGCACCTTTCTTAGCAGTGTAGCCTTTCTTCCCCTTCAAACAAATATATCCTTTTCTCTGTGGCGATTTTTGAGCTGTGTGCTCAAGTCAGGGGTTAGACAAACCTTATCAGTATGCGTGTGTGTGTTTACGTGTGTGCACTTGTGTGTGTAATTCCGGTATTTTCTCCTACTGAACAGGACAGTTGCATCGGAAAGCTCGTAAAAGCCAGAGTGGAACAGCAGCACAATGCATCAAAGGGAGAACCGAGATTCTTTCTTTCCATAATTTTAGCTGAATGCATCACACAGTGGCAATTATATGGCACATTTTTCTTCTAAAAAATTGGCCTCGTTGTGCCTCTAGACAACAAAACAGCGTGAAGAAACCATACAGGCACAGCTTGGTTCCAAATAACCATGTTTACCTAATATACACAAATATGCCAGGCCTAACTATATAAATATTGCTGCTCTGACTTATTTCTGGAAGTTTCTGAAACATATAACATGGTGAGTAGAAAAGAACATTCGCTATTTATTTTCATTGTAGGAAAAGGCAGTAAATCTCATATTTGCAATGTGATAGGGAAAGATGACAGGAGTGTCTATGGAGCATTTTATACCCACTCATATACTGAAAAAGACACAATGGAAAAATTAATTTGAGGTGTGCAGCTCAAATTTATATGAGACATTCTGATTTATCTAGAAAATATCTTCTATAGTATTTAATTTGAATTGATTCATGCCATGTTTTTTTTTTTCTCTTATAAGATATTCAAGAGATTCTCAGGGTGACATGAAGCACTTTTAAGAGGACTACCAGTTATCTCCTCTTTTCTTATCTCTTGGGCAGCTTTTTCCAGCATTTAAAACTAGTGCTTGAGTTTCAAAGCTCCGTTCCACAATTGCTGTCAGATGAGGTGTATTGACAGAGAGGTTTTGCTCTGGGGACCTAATGTAGTATTTGAATGCATCAGAAATTGCAAATGATGCAAAATTACTCAAAAAAAAAAATATTCCTAACAGAACTCAGAAAATTCCCAGCCCAGAAGCGTGACTGATTTTAATAAACCACAGATTCAAAAAGCAACAAAAGATAATTTCTGTCTGATTCCAGGGGAATCGATGACAGATGACTCTTAGCCCGTGGCACGGGCACCTGGCAGTGCTGTGACACTGTTCCTGTGCCAAGGGCACAGGGCTGAAATGACATGTTCCCCTTCTCTGCCAAACCTGGCTGATAATGGGATTAAAGGCTGGAAGAGGCACCTGTTAGTCAAGTTTTGACTTGAATTGTCCTGTTGGTGTCTTCCATGAGGAGTCTTCTGGAACAGAGTCACGGCAGGCGTTCCTCGCTCACAGTCACCAATGTGAGGATTTCCTTCATTTTCAGTTCCTAGGAAAAACAGGGATTTACAGAATCTAACTCCCCTCTCAGCTGGTGCAGAGATCAGGGCTGAGATCTAGCAAATACCACTTGCACGTGATGACAAGGCTGCCAAAAATTATTATTGACATTCATTTCCTGCTGTGCCAATCTTTGGGATGACAACTAGACCTACCACCAGGAGCTACATATCCATTTCACCTGTCCCAAACCTCTCCCAGAAACTGCTCTGTGACAGGGGCTGCCCCAGGGCATGAAATGGTGGAGTCTTGCTCCATGTCACAGCAAAAACCAGTTAAATTAGAGCACATCTGACCCTGTAAAACTGAACATCACTGTCACTGGAAGTAGTACAAAGCAAGAGAGGTGCAAGGAAAGATTGCTGGAGGGGAGAAAAAGAGTATTTGTGAAAAATATGGAATGGGAACCCCGTTCATAGTTTAATTTTACATTTCTTCTCCAAAAGACTTGTCACCATAATTCAAATTCTGCAATTTAATATTGTAAAAATGCCCCCCCCCCAAACTGTCTCCTCCCCTTTTTGGTGTTTGTTTGCTTTTCAAAGCATTTGAAACAACATGATTTGTAGTTTGGCTTTTTTGGTTTGTTTTTATTTGGTGGGTTTCGTTTTGTTTATTTGCGGGGACAGAAGTGGCTCCACTCAGTTACTTTCTTGTTCCTCTCTATTTTATTTGTCTATTCTATAAACTTTATTCTTTTCCTCCAGCTTAGAAAAATTAGATTTTGACTAAATGACAGCCTCCTCTTTCTTTTGGCCACTTTCCAAAAGCCATGAAATACTTAAAAATTCGGAAACAGCAAAAAAATGAAAAAAAAAAAGATGGAAAAACAAATCACTAACATTCTTTCACACTTTTTTTCCCACCCAAATATAAAGCTCCAGAATCTTCTTTAAAATCATTCTTTGAGAATAGAATTTTAAAATTTCAAGAGATTGGTTGGTAGTTAAGTTTTGCACTTCTGCAGAAAATAAAGTGTTTTATGACTGCCAACCTCATAGGAACATATTTTTTATTAAAAATAGTTCTCACCAAATGTTTTAAGGAAAAAAAAATATCAAATGGGTCCAATAAATCCAAATTATAATCAGGCTTAAGTTATATATCAATTTGCTGAAGAGATGAATATACTTATTTAATGTACAGCCACCAAAACCAATAGAAGATTTTTAAAAGAGAGTCCTTGCATGAAGAAACATGGAAAGACCTCGTTGGATAACTATTCATTCAGGAGAAACAATGAATAAAGCAAGAGAGATTCTTCAGGGGGCTTAATCTGATTTCTCAAGAATACATTCCCTAGTGTAGGTCCCTCCCTTCTGACACCTGTTTGGTCTCCTGTCAGTCCTCTGGTGTTAACGTTGGGATTTTATGCTCCACAGTTCCATCACTGATGTAGTCCAACCATAGCAAAATTTACACTGAAGAATTAATGAATTACCTCAAGTTAATGCTTGGACATCTTAGAGGTCTTTTCCAACCTTAATGATTCTATGATTCCTTTTTTGTTTGTCTATTTGTTTTAATTGAATCCTAAGAAAAATCTCCTCCAGTTTTGCTAATGGCTTGACTCTGGATTTGTCCCACTTCTTAGGCCTATTCTTTTATTTCTTTTCTAGAAATCATGAATCTTTGATCACCTGGGTCCAATTGCCTCAAAGCCACTACATAAACACTGTTTTTCCAGCTATTTGATTCAACTTCTATTACTTTTTCCCGGAGTTCTGCTCCATATTCAAACTAAAAGTGAACTAACAACCCGAACCACCTTTTTATTCCTTTTGCTTGCCCGGATGCCTTGCAAAGCAAAGACAAATAACGGCTTTGATCCGGGGAGAGCGTGGATTTTCTTTCTTCTTTTAACCAGGCAGAGGATATTCGTGCAAGGGAAGGATCAGGGTCAGGACAGGCAGAGCTTGTAAGTGAAGTTGTCTATCTCCAGGCCACTCAACTCCGCTGCAAGTTTCCCTAATGCCTTGGCAGTGATCCATGGCCCGACCTGGAGACACTGAGCTCAGACAAAGAAGGCAATTAGGTTGTAACCTGGAGTTGGTTCAAGCTGAGGTCCTGTCGGTGATCTCTGGTTGCCTTACCCACTAAGCTGCCCTGAATCGTCATGTGGTTTAAATAGGAAAAGGTTGTTTTGGTTTAAAAAAAAAAAAAAAAAAAAAAGAAAAATCATAATTTCCCCAGAAATCAGAAAAGGATAAAATACTGAGGAGGGAAAAAAAAAAAAGCAATTGCAAAAATTGTTTTCTCTGCAGTGAAAAAGCTATTTTTCTAAAATTGGTCATCTTCACTGGTCTTCTTTCTGTAGATCCTGTAATAATATGCTTCTGATTGCACCATTTTATTGGCAAATGCCCTGTTTTATTTAAAAGTGCATATGTAAATGAGAACAGTGTTCAGGAAAAAAACCCAAACCAACATTCTAGTGTATTTACAGTTGGTGAAAGGGCCAAACCATGAATCAGTGCTACCACATTTGGAATTCCCTCTGTATTCTCTCATTTTCTTAACACATTTTGGGGGGTGGGGGGAAATAAGGACACGAGCATGGAACCTCAAGTTCCACAAATTGACACAACTTCATCCAGCTCAGTGGAGCTTCTCTGATTTATGTCAATCAAAGATCTGGGCTAAAGGTTTATAAGAGTAATGGGAATGGGAGGATTTCAGTGATGGAGGAGAGGAGATACTGTGGGGAGCTGCACATGCAGTGCGTGGCCATGACTGCTTACACACTAATTAAACCAGTTTTATATTTTGGTATTGGAAAGATGGTTAAAACCATCTGTTTCTTTTTAGAATATTCTACTAGCTAAGGAGAAAATGTGGTCAGGATTAGATCTAGGTGATAAATAGTTGTTTGGGGGTTTTTCTTCTGCGGCTGAACATCAAGTTCTAAATAGGATTTGCGTCAGCACTTAAAGACAGATGTAAAGGTTTATTGCAATGCGACAAACAACATGATCTTAGGTAAATCTGTGATGTTTTGT